TCCGTCAGACACAGTAGGGAGGGAGAAAAGTTCCGTTAGCGGGCACGGCTACTGCAGCTTCTCAGAAAGGGGGTCCTTGTAGGCCGTTTCCTAGAATTCATTTCGGCGGGGGGAAGGAGAGGTGGGTGGGTGGCTGTCCTAGGTAGGGGTGGCGGCAGGGAAGGTGAAGRGGAGGAGGGGGAGAGGGGGGGAGGGGATTGAAAGAAAGGGCACAGAAAAAGGAAAGGGTTCAAGAATAAGGTCATTCAGAAAGAAGCGACTCTACTCGAGTGACCCGTTGATTGACTTCGAGGACATCAACGCGAATTTCAAAGCGAAAGTGAGCGCGGGGTAGGGGGTTGACACCACCACCCACATACCCCCTCCCCCTCCCCCTCTTTCTCTTTCGGAATCCGTTCCTCCTCCTCTCGGTCCCCTTTCTTCACCACCCACCTCTCCTTTTTCTCTCGTCTCCCATTCGCTGTCGCTCATGTCCTTCCATCCAAACAGAGGTTTCTTCTCTGTTCCGTCCCATTCAATTCAATTTGGTTTTTTTTTTTTTTTGTTTTGTTTTGTTTTGTTTTGTTTTTTAATTATTATTTGTTTTCGTTCTTCGCCCGGAAAACTGCACTTTTTTCCTTTCTATATTTCTTTTTATACGCCCTTTCTTTCGTTAGTCCTCTTGCTAACGACACCTCCTTCGTGGTGATTGTCTGCTGAAAAAGCTTGCTTCTTTTCTTTGATTCCGCCTTTTTTTGTGGCTCAACGGTTCACCATTGTTTTTGCAATATATTTACATGCTTTCCAAAAAAAAAAAAAAAAAAAAAAAAAAAAAAAAAAATAAAAAAAAAAAAAAAAAAAAAAAAAAAAAAAAAAAAAAAAAAAGTTAAAAAGATTTGTGACGGGCTGCTGTCCTTAGATAACAAAAATCGACGGCCGTCCCAAAAAAAAAAAAAACAATCGACGGCCATATGCGAGAGGAACCTCGCCCTGTCCGGACTGATTCAACAATATTAGGGAGACTAACGCCTCCCCCCCCAGCCCCCAACCCCACCCTACCCTAAGCCCCCGAAAAGTGAAGAAAAAAAAAAAAAAAAAGCAAAAAGAAGTTCGTTGGTTGACAATGGGCCCCGCTCCACTACTCACGACATGCAGAAAAGACAAAATATGGCGGTGTATTTTTCGATGTTCTACGGGAAGATACATTCTCATTTGGTGAGCAGTGGAGCGAGGCCCACTATGACTTCATACTTGGAGCGTATCTTGCGTAACAATTATGCTAATCTATGGAGCGTATTTTGCTTAACAATTATGCTAATATGCTTCACAATGATGCTAATTTAAAATATATTAACAATAATAATAATAATAATTCGTAATAAAGGCGGGGAGGTGTTTTTTTTTCCCTTTTTTTTCCTTCTTTTTTTTTTTTTTTTT